CAGTTTTCCCAGCACCATTTATTGAAGACTGTTCTTTCCCCAGTGTGTTTTTGATGACTTTGTTAAAAATCAGTTGGCAGAAAATACATGGATTTATTTCTGGGTTCTCTATTCTGTTCCATTGGTTCATGTGTCTGCGCTTTTAAAATCGAAATCATTATTCATAAATAAACAATATTTCTTGAATGCTTACAAGTTATTATAGCTTCAATTTTGCATCTCTGCTGGCTTGAGTTCTAAAATATCTCATCATCAAATCTCTTCTTGAGTGATCTTCCATAGGAAGAATAGACTATGACTATTAAGCAATATGATGGTTTAGATACCTCTGTAAATGGAAGCATCAATTGGAAGTGACTTAAGGCATATTTCAAGTGGCCATTAACTGTGTCTTTTTAAAAAATACACATATACACACATGTGTGTGTCTCTGACACTTCAATAGACAGATTCCTTCTAACTCTTAATGTTTTCATTGCTTTTGGTATAGGGAGAAAGTCTGAGCTAATTTTACTTGTACAATAAGAAAAAACCTAAAATTAGATCATAGTAATGATATCCTCTATATCTGCATAATTTCAAATCTAAAGGGGGAAAATGATTCTAAAAGAGAAACTTTATTACAGAGACTTTGGATCTTATTATAAATCTTGATATTTTCATGGTAATAAAAATGAGTTAAAGCAGGTGACTGTTTTCCTATAGGAAACAGCCTGGTAACACTGCTATGCCACCTCTTCAACACCCATGGACTCATTCACCATTTCAAGTTAGATATGGTGACCTTACACAGATTTTTAGGTAAGTCCTTTTTTCCATATTCCTACCCCTATTCCCATGAACAATGGCAATGCATAACACTCTTTAATGTAAAGTGGTGAGAACCATAGCATGGTGGATGAAGACCTCAAATTAATCTTAAATAATCTCATCTAAATTTTAAAATATGGTTTCTCTATCTTAAATCATTGAAAAATTATTTACTTAATTATAGTTGACCCTTGAACAATGCAGGGGTTAGGGACGCCAACCCCCCACACAGTCAAACATCCACGTATAACTTTTGACTCCCAAAAAACTTAACTACTAATAGTCTACTGTTGACCGGAAGCCTTACCAATAACAAAGAGTCAATTAATACATATTTTGTATGTTATACATATTATATACTGTATTATTGTTATGAAGCAAGATAGAGAAAAGAAAATGTTATTTAAGAAATCATAAGGAAGAGAAAATATATTTGCTATTCATGAAGTGGGAGTGGATCATTAAAAAGGTCTTCATCCTCATCATCTTCACATTGAGTAGGCTGAGGAGGTGGAGGAGAGATTGGTCTTGTGTCTCAGGGGAGGCAGAGGCAGAAGAGTATATAAGTGGATGCACACAGTTCAAACCTATGTTGTTCAAGGGTCAATTGTAGTTATGTTTATAATAAAGTCTCTATAAAAACAACTATTAAGAACATATAGCTGTCAAAGAAGAAATGGATCTGCTCATCTATTAACAAACCCCCAGCAGGATATGCCTCAAATAATTCTAATCAGAACAAGAATTGTTAAAAATCTTCAATAGACTTTTTTTAAAATAATAAGTACCATTTATGTAGCATCGACTATGAGCAGGGTACTTTTCGTAGGTTATTTCTAACTGTTTGAACAAATCTGCAAGTTGTATGCTATCACCACCATTTAATCCACAGTCAAGGAGACATACAAAGAGGTTTTATTACATACCCAAGGCCAACAGCTAGTAAGTGGGAGAACCTAAATCCAAGCCTAGGTCCCTCTGACTTGCAAGCCCACCATCTTTCTACCCAACCCCATCAGTACTCTGTATCCAAAGGCAGCCCCAGTTCTTACTTGACTCTGTGCGTACTCTTATTTATCTGCCAGTGAATTATCCAGGGCACATTTCTAATCACCAAATGACTTTCCTCTGCCACTTAGCATGTTTCTGACTTCTTTAATCTGCCATGTGACTATACTTTGAATTTAGGATCTGACTTAATGTCATCAGGAGTACAATAACACTGACTATGATAATAACAGCAGCCATAACCACTTACATGGTGCTTATATCTGCTGGGAGCTCTTCCAAGGACTTGGATATGTTAACATATTTAATCCCTACAGCAACATTTTAAGTTCATAGCTATTGCTATCCCCATTTTATAAAGAAGGAAACTGAGGGAACAAGCAGTTAAGTAACTTGCCCAATATGGATAATAAATGATAGAACCAGGGTTTAAATTTAATTGTAAAATAAACCTTCTGAATAAAAGGCATATGCAACACAATAGAAATATCTGAAACCAGCCACAACATGGCTCATTTCCTGAAACACAAGTAACTTCAAGCCAATTGTATTTTCATTGATTGAGCAAAATAACAGCCATGAATAGGGCCAAATAATTTCGATTTGCCTAAAGAAAAAGATAACAGACTCAGATACTTTGGACATGTGTATGTACCCAGAGAATATGTAAAGAGTGCAGAGTTGACAACAAAATTAACACCAGAATCCAGATATAGATTTATAGCATGGGTTAAAAGAACATGGCCACACTTGCAAATCTGAGCATTCTATACATACTGAATATACTGCATCCTAAGCTTTGCCTTGGTCAAAAGCTGAAGCAGGGCTAGTGTCTTCCATAAATAGCAAACCAAACTTGCCTTGCCTCTGTCTCTACTTAGTTCCAAGAGCACTCTAAGCCTTGCATTAGACTTGGGGGAGCATGAAAGATGATACCTTAACTTGAATAAGGTTGAAATAAATCCAAGGAGTTCTCAATTGGATCAATGCAGTACTCTGAATTTCTGCCCAAAAAAGCCCCAGATTTGCTTTGGTAGATATTTGTTATTCAAATGATAAACTCATCTTTGGATGTCAATAGCCTGATCCTACTATGGCTCTTTGAGAGGAAACCTTGTTTATGGAGTAGTATTCATAAATGGCAGCAAACTTAATTAAACTATAGTGTGAAATGAAGTTATCCTTTTCCCACATATTTATTTTTCCTGTGAATGGCGGCCTTCATGAATGGCAGAAAGGGGGATTTATGAAGAAGGTGAGAAGCCTCAAGTCCTTGCAAATCCTTTCGGCCTTTCTCCCCTCTGCTCTTCATCTCTTCTTTGCTAAAAACAGCTAAGTAGAACTGCCAAGCTTGCAAACCACATTTATTTTTAAAGGATATCCAGGCTGTACATGTTGGAGCCACCAATATTTTTAAGCAAAAAGAACTCTCAACACGTCTGAGCTAGTATACCACTCCTGTTTGGGTTTTAGCTGACTGAGTTATCTGTTTGCCTCCTAGTCATGGTTCAAGAAGATTACCACAGCCAAAACCCGTATCACAATGCCGTCCACGCGGCCGATGTCACCCAGGCCATGCACTGCTACCTGAAGGAGCCAAAGGTAAGACGAGACCCAGCTGCCTCCTCGGCCATCTGGAAATGCCAAGGAAACTACTTGGTAGGACCCAAATCATGCAAAGTACCTGAGTAACTACGATATGGGTCATTCACAATATGAATATAAATTATTTTTATTAAAGTTCCAGTATTAGCTCTGAAAATCTTATAACATTCGTGAAAAAGGATGTGAATGGTCTAAGGTTTTCTTTCATATTTTTTATATTTTTGAGGCTGCATTAGGACAGAAACAACCCTCTCTATGATAATTTACACGTTAGATATTTTCAATGTTCTCAAGAACTGGCTCTTTTTGCCTTAGACCTTTGCCAAAAATAGAACTAGCGCCGAACTTGACTGGGAAAAGTCTCCTACCTCATGCTTTTTGATCAAAAAATGTAATTAAAACTCCTCAAGGCTCATGTTCCATTTCCTACTGAGCCAAGTGGACATCCTGATTCAGGGCCCAAGAAAACTTGTGAATGTCAAAGCCCTCTTAGCAAGCATGCTCTGATGCAATAAAACAATCCAAAGTTAAAAATTAAAAACATAATAATAATGGCTCATTACCCAACATCTAGGCAGTTCTTAGCTATATAAAATTTAGTTGGTATAATGTACAGGATGAGTTTTCTTAAGATTTCTGGAAAATGATATTCCGGTCTAAGACTCTAATTCAGTCCGTTCTAACAACCCACTAAATATACAGATGCTTTGACAACAGCCACTAAATATACAGCTGCCAAACAGGCATTCTCAGGACAAAGCTGGATAGATGCTTCATCCCTGTAAAATATCCCAAAAACATGCATGGTTTTGTTTTTTGATCTCTACATAGTCCAAAAGTTGTAAGATATCACACAGTTATAATTTTAAAGTTAGTACTGGGTTCCCATGGCCCTGCTTGTTTTCCTAGCTAGCCAAAAAAATCACAGATTCTCACACATTTCCCCACTATTTAGTACACATTGAAGAAATATGCAAATTTTGCAATTAAACCCACTTCTTTCAAAGAAGTGGCAAAGATATATTAGATAGTTGAAATACACAAATGATTTTTGTAATATTCCATCACTTTGGCTTCAGCTTTTTCCCTCATTTACAGCTTTCTCGAGGAGCAAGGCTGATTTCAGGCTCTGCCTTCTCCCTGCCCACCCTGTAGCAATGTTGCTGACAAGCAATGCGCATCACAGCAAAAAAACAAAACAGAGTGGCATCAGGAAGAGGGGGATACCTGAATGACCTACACAGTTTGAATTTACTCGGCTGCTTTCCTTTCTTCCCTGAGATTCCATGTGAATATCACTCAATGAATGCTTCAGAGGGTGGAGGTCTGGCTGAGAGACTTGAACAACGTCATGATGGTTCATTCTGTTTGATTGAGCCAAAATAAACGAAAGCCTGTTTGTGGAAACACACCAATCAATCTCCCAATTTAATTTTTTAATAGCTCGCCAACTTCCTCACGCCTCTGGACATCATGCTTGGACTGCTGGCTGCAGCAGCACACGATGTGGACCACCCAGGGGTAAACCAGCCATTTTTGGTCAAAACTAACCACCACCTTGCCAACCTATATCAGGTAAGGAATCCCAATGCAGAGTCAGACACAGCACGGTCAATTGCCTTAGGCCCAGTGCTCAAGCCTGAAGCTTGCCCTTAGAGACACTCTTCATTCAGGGTTGGCCCCAATGATGGGGACCACATTCAAAGAGCATGGGTTTGAAATAGGCCCAACATACCCCCCAAAGGAGATTAAATTTATTTACAAGGATAAATTAATTTACAAGGATATCCAAGGAATTTAATTTGCTCCGAAGCAGGTTTGAAATTTTCCTAAATCAGATGGGATCTCTGAGCCTAACCTCTCCTGGTTTGAGAATATCTATCTCCATGGAGACTATATTGTATACAATGCCAGTTAAAGCCAGTTTTACTTGAGTCTCTGGGGCCATTTCTGAACTTTCTTGGCCCCTGAGCCAGAGGTATGTTATCAAAGACAATAAACATATTTCGTTGTTATAAAATAGTTCAGCAGCATGAGTAGATTTGCCTGAAGAATTCTTATCTATAATATTGTCTCAGATATTAAACCCTATATCGTAAATGAATTACGCCCAGAATTTTCAATGGAGTTCTTTAGATCCTTCAGCTGTCATTAACAAAGCATATCATACAATGGGGTCGTTGATCTCAATTTTAATAGATCTTCTGAAGATCTATTGTGCTGAAGGCATTCCTGACAGATCCCCATAAAACAGCTGCATTAAACAAGATTTTGCATCTTGAGGATGCATTCATTTCCAATAAAGTACAATCGTAACATGAAAAGAAGCCTCTCTCCATCCAGTCGATTAGCTTTTGGCACAGGTAAGAACTGGTATTCTGAAGTTTATAGGTACACCTGGCATGCACGTCAGCGCTAAGCTCCCTGAGGCTGTCAGCAGCACCTGGAGCAGGGATAGATGTGACCATGTAGAGGGGACAGGGTGACTTTGGATGATGAGCTAAAAATTAAACAAACATATACAAACAACTAAAACTAAATTTTCTAAACCATCTCAAAAGCTCAATTTATTTCTTGAGAAAAGATACAGACATTTGATTTGACTAGGGGAGAAATAAATGACTGTCCTGAGAGCCCCCAAGTAGGTTTTCTATTCCTGTCAATTCTGACTTTCTCAAATGTCTTTTCTTAGACAAAGGAAATCAATCAACAAGTTTATCTACTTGGTCCATTCCCGTAATTCATTATGTAATTCTAATATCTCATAATCAAATAAACCATATCAATTAATTTTAAGAGAGTATCTACTGCTGTTGACTGATTTGTACATAAAAATAAGGGTCATAAAATAGCGCTTTGCCTATAGTCTATAAAAATACATAATGAATTCTCATTTACACAGGAAGTCACAAAGAAATATGCCAGATGTTAAAGAAAGACATAAAAACAAGAAAATAAATTAATTACTCACTGATAATTAACAAAAATTGATTCTCAAAAAAAAATACTGCAATCTAACTGATTCAGATACTAAAGATTTTCTCAGAAAAATGGATTCCTTACTCAAACATGCAAGAAACTGAGAGGTTTTCTCCCGTCCTGTTCTAGTGAGGGAGACAAGAGGGTTACAGACAAGTGACTTGAAGTGTGGGAGACTTCAATAAGCACTCTAAAGTATATGGCTACAAATAAATGTGACAGGAAGACAGAGGGGAAAGAGAAACTGATTCTGCAGATGGCTTCCAGGAAAAAAAAAAAAAATCAAAGAGGAAGAATGCTGTAAACTAGGCCTTCAAGTGTGAGTAACATTTTTAATAGCTGAAATGATAATAGCATTAGAGGCAGGATGAGCTTGATGGACTTCTGGGATGAAAACCCACAATTCCAGAATAACTGGAAATGGAATGTCCCTGTGGCCTTTAGCTGAGCATGTCCTGCCATCTACAATTCCTTCTCTCCCACCAGTGTCCTGTGCATATCATGATTAAATGTATGTACTCTCTTTCGTAGAAACTTCGGATTAGTTGTACAGAACATGACCTGGATTAGGAAATCTCCACTCTGTATTAAGTTGTAGATGAGGAACTGGCACAATTCTTCAGGTTTTCAATTTCAAGGAAAAAAAAATCATGTTATATAATATATAAGCTGAGCAAGACTGTTAACAACATATGATATTTTAAAATCTTTGGAAATGTAGCCTTTTAGCCTCGTGAAGGCCTGTTGGTTGAGACACGAATGGGCTTTCAGGAAACAATATGCAAATTTTCACAGGATGTACCTATGCACATTTTTCTAAGAAGAGTATCTAAAACTTACTCTCATCAAATTTTAAAATGAGCTATAGATTCTTAAAATGTTAAGAACCATGGTAATTAATGAAAAGAACATGTGTACATATATACAGAAAAATTATACATGCACACGTGCACACTTGGTCAACAAGAATGCCTTAGAGAGGGTGTGCCAGGAATTATGTGGCTTTGAGAACACCCTGTGCGTGACTTTGCTGCAACCCAGACTTACTATAAATGAGATAAAATGGAAGAGGGCTTCCTCTCCCTCCTTTTGTTGGCTGTGCTCTTTTAGTTCTAATAAATAAGATCATTGCATAACGCCCAGCATTTTCTTCTGCCCTGAGATAAAGAGAGAGCCAGGGCTGCCGAAGTGAAGGCCAGGTCAAAGGGTTCCCTCCTATTGTCTGATGTCTGGACTCACTAGCTGAACTGCCAACCAAGTTCAACACGAAGGCACTGAAAGCACTTCCACCTGGCACCTCTCTCATAGGACGGGAAGCAGTCCAGGTGTCCGGGGTGGACTAAGAGGAAAAGGAGCATGTGAGAGATAGAACCAAGAATTTACTTTCCATCCTTCCACCCTCCAACCACACTCAAATTTAAAGGTGGCTTCAGCAATTGCACAAAGTAAGCATTAAATCAGATACAACATTGGTTTTTACAATTGTAAAAGGAATCACTTTCAGTTCAATTTAAAATTGAATTCCTTTTAATAGAGTCTAACTACATATTAACTAGTGACAGAGCACCCTATAAGAACAAAATAGTAAGTAATGAATTGTCCCATAAACCTTATATTTAATATTTATAATACTCTACAATGTCTTGCAGAAGTTTATCATCAGTTTTCTTCGTTGTTTGTCACAAGTTCTTAGAGAGGATCAGTATGTTTAACCACTTTTTATTCCTAATGATGCTGAATCACAAGCATGAAGTTGACCAAGCCAGGAGGAATGGTCCTTCCACGTGGTTGTACAACCTCTCCTCAAACAAACATCTGCAGAGGTTATATATAACCTCACAATTTCTACAGTATGAAAGGTGTTTTCAACAAGTAGTGTTAAAATTATAAAAGGAGGCTAAAATTTGTTTTCCTGTCCCATAAAGTTTCTGCTGGCCCTGATCTACCCCATGGACAGCAAACTGGTATCCACGCTCCTTGTGCTCAGATCAATGTCTTGGGCAGATGCAGATCGAACAAGAGAAAGACATTAAACAAGGCAGTACCATAGTCTCTGCAAGGGCCAAGGTCTTGTTTAGGGCCCAATTCCTCTGAGACCTCCTGGGCTGGGGCTCCTGTAGTGTTACCAAGGAGACCACCAGCTTGTTAGGGAAGAACTCAGCAGACTCCATTATCTCGAGTCTCGCATCTTGTTTCATGAACAATTAAAAATGAAAACACAGACAGTGTTCCTGTTGTTGTTTTCCTTCCTATGTCCTCTAGATTTAAAAGGTGTAATTAACTCTGATTCCTGTTGTATGCCAGATTCAGTTTATCATCATCATTTGAAATATTTTTATCAAAGAAAATGTCCAATAAGTAAGGGGGAAAAACAGTATAAAGCTATCTTGTATGATAGCAGTCCATCTCTGCGAGATTCTCTTTGACAAATAGTCTTGTGATTTAATTAGAAAACCTATGTTGGTGGTTTATTAAATGCCAGGTGTGTTGTTATGAGGGAACAAAGGGATGGTCTTGTTCTTAGAGTGAATAATACTTGATAATTCATACAAAAAGAGAAATAAAGGTTTTGCCTTAGAAGTGTCAAGGGTTTTTTTTTTTTTACAAATTAAAATTCTAATCACTTTTGTTGCCACAAAAGTCAATGCTTACTCTGTCAACTGTGAGACGAAGATTATTCTTAAAA